CTTCTCTTAATCGTCAAGCTGCTGGGTAGATTGACGATCCACCCTTACGACACCGATGGCATGTAATGAGTTGATGGATTTTCTTACGCCGCTTGGACAATAAATAAAAAGTTACCGTGTGTTAGGTAACTTTTTTATTTATTTTCCAATTCATTTTTACACACACATACATACACACACACACACACACACAAATATACACACACAGACACACACACACACACACACACACATACACGTGCCAATGAGACTCCCAGTCTAGTGAATGTATTTGAATTTAAGATAATGAATAACGATTTTTGATTTTTTTAATGTTATCTTATAGGTAACACTAAAAAAAATCAAAATGGTGCAGTATACTCATTACCGTATTAAAAGGTAATGAGTATACTGCACCATATTTATCAAACCATTACATATTATATATGAATTGAATTGCTTACTATATCAGTTCCATACTTGTTGCCATAACTGAGTGGTAACAATGTACCTCGTAGGCATAACACAGGTGGTAACGTGTTATCGGTTTGCACTACACGACTATCCGATAGGAAAAGTAGGACAGTAAACATTTTTAGGATTAGAATCCGATACAAATCTATCACAATTCTTATATTACATATTTTATTTTAAAATAAGATACCAAGTAGGTTTTACTACTTTGTCGCGCAGGATTTTAACATACATAAATTGGACACGGATAAACCTTGATGTTTATACCCAAAACAATTGTTTATATAAATATTTGTTTCGTGAGTGAGTTTTCCACGGCTTTGCACGACGGTTCTCGAATTCCTTGTCTCTACAGTACGTACGTACCTAGCTAACCTCGTCATTAATTATTGCATTATGCTTTAAAATTACATTTCTAAATTGGGACGGAGCGTAGCGTAGTTCTTTTATCGTTGACTCCAATGCATGTTTTATAGCAAGATCCTGTGATAGTAATTGACCGATTTTGATGAAACTCAGCTTAGATAGTATACGTAATATGATAAGTGCATAGATTTAATCCATATCTCTAGCTATTTTCGTTGTATGTGTATGTAATATCCTAACTGTTCACATTGTAACATGTTTTTTCCTACAATTTTAAAAATTTTGACTATTTTAATGTAAAATCATAATAAATTTTTATTATTCAAAATTGATGATAGTAATATGTAACTCCCCTCCACTGTTGTCCGCAACTCTGACATATCGAGTATTTTTAAGAAAATTAAATTTAATTAAAATATAAAATCGTTAAGTAAACAGTTTTATTTTTCGTAAAGTTACATTGTATTCTTTTATTAGCAACATCTTTTTTAAATAATATTCAACTTATTACATAAGTACTGTTTAATATTCAGCCTTTAAAATCCATAAAAATAACGCTTCTTAAAAATTATATCATACAGTATATGCCTGTGCCGTCTCAATCTTTCTGAGTCTATCTTTGCAACATATGGCTCCTCTATTTTTATCAATAATCGAGGCTATCCATCAACGACCATAAAAATATTTTCAACATCTTTAAGCCCTTAATGCTCCTTTATCTACATTGATTGCATCAAGATAACAATTCACTGTAGTGGCATGAATCATCCGTAATAAGCATTTAATGGACACCTAAGTGATAAAGTGTAAATGCTCACGTTATTTACGATTACAGTCATCAACATAAACCTTAATAACTGGTTGAAACTAAACCATGTCAATACGATAAAGTCGAAGCGCTAGAGCTCTTTGAATGTAGTATTATTTTTGTTATAACTATGCACCAGTTAAAAGTACCTTGACGGACGGTCCCTTTACTGCATTATGTGCGCGACTGTACTCGAATACAAACTTGGGATTAAGAAAAATTATCATAAGTTAGTTTGAAAGTAGAGAGCAGTCCAACTTCTGGTCGTTTCACTTGATAGTTGGTAACTAAGTAAGTACTAAGTGACACTTTAGTTTTAGTTAATGTCTTTGCGTAGTTTTACAAAATTATTATACATTTAAAGATAGTTGTATATATTTTATATTATAAAACTTAATCCAATCCAATCCAATCCAATGGTAAGTCGATACAGCAGTCCATGAATACACGCGGCCGACATCAAACCTTGTTGTCACCTCTGTGGGCTAAGATGAAATGCCTCACACCATGTAATTTTGTTAATTAAATGTGAATTTAAATGTGTTTCAGGGATTCACTGTCATAAATAGAAAACCTTTTTAAACATTGTAATTAGGTAGCTATTAATATATTTGCAGCAAATTTGTAATTATTGATATATACATAACCATACGATAAGTACATAACCATACTTTTAAAATAATGCTTGTTTGTCACCCTTATTCTATAAACAAATTGCAAATTTAAGTCAATTAACTAACAATTTATTTGCAGCATATTTATAATTATTAATAGATAAGTACATAACCATACTTTTAAAATAATGTTCGTTTGTCAATCTTATTCTATAAATAAATTGCAATTTTAAGTCAATTAACTAACAATTAATTTGCAGCATATTTATAATTATAGAGTATATACTTTTAAAATAAGTTTTTCACCCTTATTTAAAATTGTAATTTTCTTATTGCAGCAATATAAAACATTTGCAGCATATTTATAAATATTAATAGATAAGTAGATAACCATAACCCAACCTTTTAAAATAATGCTCGATAAAGATATTAATAATTACTTTGCAAACATCCACTCAATTAAATACAATGATGTGTTTTACCTAGATTGACTAGATAGTAACTATTAATATCTTTATTATAATGGATTTCCGCAAAGTAACGCCTGATTTTATCAATTAAAATTTTATTTATTATTTTTATTATTAATGTTCGTTTGTCACCCTATTCTATAAACAAATGATAAATTTAAGTCAAGTAACTATAAATTTATTTGGAGCATATTTATATTTATTAATAGATATGTACATAATTAAATGATTAATTACTGTTATTTACCGTAACATTTTTCATTACAAAAAATACGCAAGTGAATTTCTTTCCATCTTCTTTTTCTTTATTATGATTAGCCCGTGAAGGTATTCATGGAAATATGAAGTTCTCCCGGTGTAGGGTATAGTCGTCTTAATCTCCACGCTTGACAATCGTATTGACGATCGTAGAACCAGAAGTTTCGCAGCTTTGACGCTGCTCTTCGTCACTTGTTTGGTTATCTGCCGTGATCGGAAACCATAAAATTTCTCTGTTGGTTGTGGGTTTTCTTAAGTCACCATTTGACATCGTCTTTAAGTCGTTACATAAAATTTAGCAACAGATTTTTCGGCTTCCAATCAAAAAAATAGGAATTTCACTCGGGAACGTTAATTGTCTAAAAGTTTTTCCCTCGTTACGAAGTTTATTCTTTGTCGTTTTTAGCTGACATATATAAAAGGTGGAGGCTCTTAATTCAAATGTATATTATTTTCTTCGTATGTACGTTACTCGTTATATTTGTCAATAGTGAACCGATTTTAACGTTTTTTTTTTATTAAACCCTAATGGCTTGTAAAACCTTATCTTATTTATATATATTAATAGGATGAGGTTTTACAAATAGGATAAGATTTAACATAAAATTGTGAAGTAATTGCTGTTTCGATCTATATTTTAAGATATTTGACAGTGTCTGGCATGCCAGCCCTTAAGGTAAGCTTTCAGCGTATTACTTATCCCTTGGTGAGGTCAGTTAGGTGAAGGTATTTTTAGTACGGGCAGCTGTACACATCATAGTAAATACGCCACTAAATATTCAAGTGAAGTCTTATACTATGCCGATGCTTTTCAGCGGAAATCCCGTGAGTGGTTTAGCTTCTGAAAGCTGAAAAAAAGCGGGTGAATCGGTACTTGAAGTCCTACAGAAACTCTCCTTCATAGTGGCATTACACCAGAGGAATGTAGTAGAAAGTGGTTTTGTTCATCAAGAAGGGCGACAAACGTCTCTTGAAGAATTACAGACCGATTTCCTTCCTGAGCCGCGTCTACGTACTGTTTTCGAGAGCCATTACTAATCATCCTGAACAAGCCGGTTTTCGAAAAGTCTTTAGTACCTAAACCTCATACATACCCTTCGGCTAATTGTAGAAGAGACCGAAGAGTACAATCTGCCACTTGCCTTGCGTATGTGGACTTTGAGCAAGCGTTCGATTCCGTCAAAATTTGGGCGGTGCTACAGTCTCTTCAGTGGTACCAAGTCAACTATCGGTATATAGATGTAGTGACATTTTTGTACAGTAGGGCTACGATGGTTATCCAGGTACAGAACAGTCAGTAATTCACTCATGGAACAATGCATACGATACTATGAAAAACTCACAGAAAATGTTTAAGTTGTCTATATTACAGAGTTTAAATATTTTATTAAACAAAACTGTTTATCAAAGGTTGTTATAATATAAATAAATACATGGTTGATAACCACCCCTGGCAATGAGGTGGTAGCTTCCAAAGTGTTTCTTCGATTATATTTGTTAGTGCTTTTATAATCGAAGAAACAGTTTGGAATATTATATATATATATATATATACACTAGTTCAATTTCATAATATGTTAATATAATAGCAAAAGTGCCATAGGCGTTTATTCCTTTCACCTGTAAAACCAAAATATTATCCAGAGAATGTACACCTTAAAATAGTGTATTTTAAGGTGTACATTCTCTGGATAATATTTTTATTTATGGAATATGGGTGACAAACGAGCACATAGTCCCCTGATGGTGAGTGGGTATTGAAACCCATAGACATTTATGGATATCCTCAATAAATAATTAAAATTGCATAGGCGTTGTCACCTTGAAGTCTAAGATGGAGTGCCTTGTTTCCAGTGAAAATGGTCTCCGGTTCTCTACCGTCACCATACGAAACACAGCAGCATTAAGCTGCTATTTCACGCGGGTTTTCTGTGAAAGCGTTGTGACGAAGTGTTACAAATATAATACAACTGCAGCATGGCTCTACCACGTTTAATAACATATTCTCTTCCTTTTTCAGGTGTGGTTGTGATGACATGGTGGTGGACGGTGGCGCTGCTAGCGCTGGCGGCGCCCGTTCAGCCCTCGCCCAGGGCGGGCAGCGGTGAGCAATTTTACAGTGAGCATTCTCTTTTGCACTTTATTTTCTAAACCCAAAACTAAAAGAAATCCAAATCGCAGCTGAAAGTTAATTATTACTGATGTACATTGTACTATATGAGGAAAATATTTAAAATAATTTATTTCGATTGCAATCAGTACAGGAGTAGAATAATTTGCCAGCATCTGTTTTTTTATTCGATTATAGAGGTCTTTTAAGTTAGGAGTAAGCATTTGTTAAGCAAAGTTAGTGCGTTTTCCATATTCGGCTACATCACCACTTACTATCAGGCGGAATAGTAGTCAATAACTGTGTCTTAATTCAATTTTCCCATGTGCAATTTATTTATGTAAAATTATTTCACGATACAATATAAATCCTAGTGTGCGAATAACGTTTTAAACACAGTACATACCTGTTTTATTTTGCCAATACATTATAAGATTTTGAAGGCTGTGGGACCTTAATTAATCTGGTTCTCTAATCAAAGAGTTAAGAGAGATTTATAAAAATAAAAGTGCTTGTTTTTCGTTTGAACGTATTACGTTTGATAATGGAATCAACTTTGAAGTAATTATATTTTAGACAAATAATATTTATAATAAAACTTTGTAACTGTAAGCTCAAGTTGTGATTGTAATCTAACATATTGATATATATTATTGTAACTTAATTATTTCGCTTAATACATCAAGATGAAATAAGAATTTAATTCAAGAAATATTTAGTTAAATTTAAATAGAACATCACTTTAATAAATTTTTAAAATTAAATACACATTTACATAATTGGGGAAATGTGAATGAGGTAATAAAATGTATTCTGGTTAAAGGAATGTAGGATCATTCTGATAAGAGAAGATGCGTCGTGCGAGTAAAAGTTAGGTGCAAACTAATCGATACATACCTATATTAATCGATTTGGTATGGCATAAGCGTGTTTCACTGGCGTCTCAGCTGCGAATTGATTTCTTGCTAATTTGGGAGACTAATCACGTTCTTTAACTTGACTCGTATGTTTGCATAAGCAGTCTCTCTTATGCACATTTATTCGTTTCTGACTTTTTCTCACAAACCTACACGACTTCCTTGTTGACTTACTGGTATTGGTTATATATAATTGTTGTAGGTATTCATAATTTTAATGAAGCCATAACATTTTCAGTGTTATTTTAATGAAACTTTATTTTGAATATCCACATTCGCCTTTGTACTCTATGTCTAAGCACGTACATTTTGTATCTGAGCCGTATTTTACTTGCATAAAACGTTATCTTGATAGAGTCGGGAGTCAGCCTCCTTTGTCAGCCGCAACAAAGATAGCGTTTTACAGTTCAATCTTTCACTCACTCTTGTCGTTCTCGTAAAAGTGGAATTTACTTTAACATTGATTTTTACTTGAAGCAGACGACCCAATGCGGGAATATATCAAGAGAAATTTAATGGCATTTTAATACTTTCAGATTGAACTAAGTCTGTAGATCTACACATTTGAAATTCGCTATGTTACGTATAAGTAAAGCTTTTCTTTATTACATACGGAATACTAATTTACAATATCCATACGTGGAATCTTGACATAGCAGCAATGAAAATTGGTCTGCTCGACCGGAGCAGATCTACGCTATCACAGAATACCAGTGTGAAACAGAAGAATAATGTTGCTGTGTTTCGTATGGTGATTGTAGAGAACCGGAGACCCTTTTTACAGGTAACGAGGCATTTCATCTTAATTCTCAGGTCTGTATTTTGAATTTTAATCGAGCATAGATGTAGATGTCTATAGACAATAGCATTCATTTACTACTAGTTGATTTGTACACTCGTTTGTCACCCTAATTTAATAGTTCCTCCGTAAAAATTAAGAAAGCATGATTGCACCGATTAACATGAAAGCTCTTACTTTACTGACTTTTTATACTTTTTTATTAATATTTATGAGGGAATGATATGATTTAACCAAAAAACGAGCTGTAGTTTCCATACTTTCGTTCTGGATATACGAACCAATCGGGCAGATTTTGACGGAAGTCAGTAAGTCACTTACCGCTCGGTCTAGACTGCAGCATCAGCCGAGTAAGGTGACGTTGCCCAGTGCAATACAATTACCTACTGATGCCAATATCTTTAACAGTGTTTAACTTTCTCTTTAAATTGTAGCCAATTTTTGGAGAAAGAAAACATTCGTATGCAAAGGAAATTTCGCATAAATAATGATAATACCTGTGTCTCGTTCGGGATGTAACGATCCATCATATTGAATTACTGTTATTTATGTGAGGCCGATGGTTATATTCTGCGTACACGAGGGCTCTGAATTTTCTGTGAATAATTGTACCTATGCCATCGTACTAAGCCGAAAATAATATAAAATTTTCTTTTTATTAATGTTCAAACTTAAATAAATTAATGATGAACCTTTTATTAATATAAAAATAAAGTATACTACTTTATTTACAGTAGCTGGGATAATAGTATTGGTATTATTGAGATTATCAATCACAATTATAAGCGTTGAGGTATACGTGTATCTCCTAATACATTATATATTTAAACGAATTAGTTACTAACTAATTTGCCACTTAGCGTAGTGGCTAAAGTACCTGATTTAGGTTGAGGTCTCCGGATTCTAACCCTTAAAAGTTTTGGCCTCTTTTGTGATTTTCATCGAGTGTTTGGAATATCATCCCTACTTCCGACACTATCGTGGGTGGCATTTAGGTGTTAGTAGTAGCGTAATATGTGCGAGACGTCTGGTACTGCGATTGTCTATCCGCCAGAATGATGATATAGGTAAAACTTCTCAAGGAAAATGGAAGGGGCCCATGTTTAGCACTGCACGTTTTTGGTATGCATAGGAAGGAAACGGTGGTTAGGATGACTGCCTCTGTACCTGCGCATATACTTGTGATACTGTAAGTTCTCTTGCACAGATTAAATTATTAATACTTTAGATTATGTGGAATGGTCGAAAATCGGCCAAAAGTACATCTACCCACCTATACCTTAATGAACCTTTATACATAAAAACATGAACAGTAATAAAAAAGAGACAAATTTTATGACATATTTCTTATTTTGACTGTTATGTATCTTTCCACTCTCTTCATTCATTTTAATGACAATATTTAATGGCAATTATGAAACAAAATTAAGATATAGAAAGTAAAAAAGTTTCACTTTCTTCCTTCCCTTTACGCTTTAAAACAACTCATAAATAGTTCTTTGACAGATAGGTTTACCAAGTTTTCGTTTTATTTAAGACATACGTATTCGAATCCTTTTACTTTTACATTCTTTTTTAAGAGCTGATAGAGTTTTTCAAGGGCTGAATGCTCATTTCATTCCGTGGGTCCCATAAAAATGAGATACGACTATGAAAAATTCCAGGAAAATTTCATTCTTTCCATTACATGGCAGAATAACGACCTCGTTAATGCCAGACGTAAAATACCTAGAGCGGCAAAAACCAGTGTCATAGACGCAAGCCGTTTTCTTTGTTTATAAGGTTCACCGACAGATGATACACAAAAACTAAAACACGACACAAGCTTTGTAAGAAACATGCAATCAAGTTATAGGCAAACACAGAGAAATGTTGAGAAAGGTTAAATAACGTAAAATTGATACAGTAGCAAAATTGGGTAATTATGAGAAATTAAAAAGGTTTACACTTATCTTCTAAATAAGGTAACATTTTTCTTCTGAAGTTATTTAAACTGTCATTGAAAATATGCCGTTTGGCAATGCGATAGTTAATACGCCTACCAAGTACCAAAGAATAAGGCAAATATTTGCCATACTCATTATTACATACTTTTTTATACGTGGTAGAGCCACGCTGCAGCTATATTATGGTTGTAGCACGAAAGGGTCGGTTCAACCGGGGAAGGATCATGCTCTCACATAATACCAGCGTAAAATATCAACTAGATGTTGCTTTGTTTCGTATGGTGAGTGTAGAGAACCGGAGACCCGTTTTACTGGAATCGAGGCAGCCATCTTAGTCCTTAGAGGTAACAACGTATTTGCCTTTTGATTCTTAATTGAGGGTAAATGTAGATGTCTATGGGCCACAGTATCCACTAACCATCAGGTGGACTGTGTGCTCGTTTGTCACCCTAATTCTTTAAGAAAAACTCGCTACGCCTGGCATGCAGGTTGGTAACAGCAGTTTTTGTTATTTAGAGTTGTTATCATAAAGATGCTACTGCCATTATTACGTTTAGCTTCCCTATATTGCTTATTTTGATAAGCATGGGACGATATGGCGTAATGGATTCTCTTACGCCGGCACCACCGGTACCAGCAATCTGAAAATGTAATTTTATTAATCTATGGTAAAAAATATTGATGTATCGAAATATCAATATTTTCTTACAAAATTATCGATATTTGTCACCGATATTTTTAAAAGTGATATATCGATATTCGATATAAATTTTAGAGTATCGAATTTGTACCAATTTTGATATATTTAAAAGTTCTAATTTTTATACTATATAATTTAAAACTTTTTTTTGTTCATAAATCTTCCGGTAATATACAGTAATTTTAGCTCTCATCCTACTACCTCCTGCAAAACATGACGATATATTGATATTTATTACGCGATAATTATCGATACTGTTTAAAAATATATGTAACGATAAATATCGATATATATCACTTGCCCATCCCTAAAAATCATCACGCGTGGTCACCACGTTGAGGTTTGGGTTTGCCATTCCTATCGCGTATATTACACAAAAAATACCTATAAACAGATTGTTTTTTTTTATTCTCCTTAGTAACCTTTTAAAAAGAAATTGATTATATTCTCGACCGCGACTTTCTCCGTTTACGTAACGGCGTTGTTTACGTTAAAATAACTTTAAAGTTTTACGATGCAATTTGGTGTTGAATGTTTCTTTAAGCGTTTTTATATCTAGTCAGTGAATTGAGCTTTCCTGGCTGAGATTGTAAAACTTGTTGCATTTCAAGTAAGTGCAATCATTTTAACTATTTACCGACTTCTTA